AGGCAGAAATTGGTTCTAATCTTAATTAGTTACCCCCATTGTAGTATTTTCGTAAGGGCTTACCAAAGAGTTTGAGTTTGTATTCCATCTGTTGCAAGATGTTCCTTTTATTTGGATTTCCTGATATATATTTTTTGTCAAAAAAAAAAAATTGCATGAATCATTTTCCATTTGTTTGCCTTTGTCTCGTTTCATTGTTCTGGTTCCTTTTCCTTCAATTATTAAAATGCTGCGTTGAATGGGAGGTTAGGATTACATGGCGATTCACATTCACCCTGCCTTATTAAAACAAATAAACCCAGCAGTTCTATAAGCTAAACACTCTTGAGCTCTGGATCACAGATGCTTTTATCAACATCGGGATATAAGGGGTTGTGTGCTTAGGAGCTTTCTTGTACAGCTGTTAAATGAAAGATGGCAAATAGCATTAGATGCCTGCAAAAAAAAAAAAAAAGAGGAAACAAAATAGCTGCTACTTTCAATAACCTTCCCAACTGAGAGGAAATGCCTTCCTTTAACTTAAAAATTGATTAGCAATAGCACTTAGACTTATATACCACTGATATATCACAGTGCTTCACAGCCCTCTCTAAATAGTTTACAGTCAGCATATTGCCCCCCACAATCTGGGTCCTCATTAGGAATGAAAGAGTGCCATCCAAATGTCCTGTGATGCCCACCAAAATAACTTCCAGAAGGATTGGGGCCAATGACAACTGCAGTTTGTGTTTTCTTGCAGACCTTTCATTCGCCGAACTAGGGGACATCATAAGTGCTAGCAGTGACATTGTCAGAATGGCAGCCCTTGCAGCTCCATCCCTTTGGCTCATGAGACTGCAACCACTATCTTCAGTTTGTTCCTGATGCTTCCTCTGCTTCCGTTTATGACAAACATTTGACCGAGGCCAATATTTTGGCTGCATTGAATGTGTAATAATGCAGAAATACAATACTTACGCTTAGAAAATCAGCTTGAAAGTGTATTTTAGACCTATTAGTTCATTTGGCATGTAGGTCTTAGTAGTTTGAATTAAAAACAAAAACAAAATAAGAGGTTAATGTCTATGGAGATTCTCAGTCATCCAGGTCATGGTTGTCCCAAAGATGCTTTTTCAGGAGGCAACTGGACTTTCTGTTTTTTTCTTTGAAGATGTTTCACTTCTCATCTCACTTCTTCAGCTCACTTCAGAGCCGAAGAAGCTTCTTGGATGAAAAGTGAAACATCTTCAAGGAAATACCAGAAAGTCCAGTTGCCTCTTGAAAAAGCACCTTTGGGACAAAATAGGACCTTATTCTTTAAACCCCTGCCTTCCTCTCCACCCTCAAATGCTATCAATAAAGCTCAGAACTCAGCTGTGAGAAAATGCGGGGAAGTTAATATGGTAGGCAAATTTTAAAGCAGGGATGGTCAATTGATTTTCTCAAGATCCACGTGAAAAACTAAAATCTTGTGGAGGGCCAAACCAACAGGGCTGCATGAACACATGTAATTTTTTTTTAAAAAAAATAGCAATTGCCTTCAAAATAAAAGCAATTCACATGGGCTGGGCAAGGACATATAAAGGGCCAGATATGGTCCATAGGCTGTAAAATGCCCAGGTCTGTTTTGAGACCTTTCAGTTTGATGGCATGCTTCTGTGAATCAGGGATCAAGGGAAAAAAATCAAGAAAAAAAGAATATTCAGGAATAAGGGCAAGTGTAATACAGCTTTCTTTATTTTCTATATGCATCCTCCCTTCTTTGCTGTCTGAAGAAGCAGGGATGACTGCAGCTGCAAAGAACTTTGCTGCTCTGGTCGGTGGTGTTCTGGAAGTAGATTCTGGAGTAGATAGAGTCATCACATGAACACAATGCCATCAGAGCTGTGGGTTTATAAATTAGACTTTCAGAGGAAATAATTCTATCCCAAGTGTTTGAGGCAAAGAACTATTTTTGGGGTGGGAAGCACCTGTTTCCCTGCAGGCTTTTTACTCACTCTGGTGTTGTAGGACAGATGTGATCTTGCAATCAAAAAGTTATTTTGGTATATTTAGCATTTATCTTTCCAGGAACACATCAAGTGCCCTTCTCTTAAAGTCTCCAAAAATATTTATATTTTAGTCTACTGTGTGAATGTTTAGTGGCTTTTCTTCATTGAACTCATTCGATTTAAATGCCCACTGACTCCAATCAACTCTTTTTACTGCCAAAAGAAACTGGGATGGAATTGGAAGCCATGTGATTTATACATGAGTTTTGACATGGGTTTTGGGAATGTGTTGGGTGAACAGATTTCAAGTTTTTCCTCATTATAAAAGCATCACAATCTTCAGTCAGAGCTGAAGAAGCTTCTTGGGTGAGAAGTGAAATATCTTCAAGGAAAAACAAAGTCCAGTTCCTTCTTGAAAAAGCACCTTTGGGACTACCATAGTAGTTGCAACCTTAAGTTCTGTTGCTGTAGTTTGAATTGTCTTCTTATTCAGACTAATATTTTCAGCATTTTTAATTGGTTTTCTCAAAGATCCTACTTTTTTTTAATTCACAAAGTTTTTTTTTTCAGGGTTAAAGGGAAAAAAAGATAAAAATTGTAAATGCATCAGGCACCAAAGTTAAGTATAGGAGAAACATTTATTAAAATGCAGAGAGCCAGTGTCAGGTGGTGCTCCATTCAAAATCCAAGAAAGAAACACTTAAACTCCATTAATTAGAAAAAAAGTTTATCTTTTACTGGAAATCGAGTGGTAGCATCAAAGGAATTCTGAATCTGAGGAATTGCGTGCGAAAACCACATATACAAAGTGATGGCAATGTTCCCCCCCTCAAGAGTTCAAACTGTCCATCCAATTAAAGTTGTATATAATGTCATGTGGGACATCTTCAGGTGGTGATGCAGGCATTTGTCCGCTGACGTTGGCCTATTTTGATAAAGAGTTGTGCCTGTGCACAGCACAGCAAAGAAGCATAAGCAAGAAACTTTCCCCCCAACTTATACAGTTTATTCTCAAAACTTCCAGACTATTTCCCACACCCTCAAAGTCCAATTATTTCACCCCTTCTCCTCCCTCATTACTATGGTAGCCAAAAGATGCAAAGCAAAGGTAAGAAATCTTGAAGGCTGACAGCCAGTATGCTTAAAATAATCTGATATTCAAGAAAAGCGAGTCCTCGGCTTACAATAGTTTGTTTAGTGACTATTTGAAGTTACAGTGGAACTTTCTCACAATTACGACCACTGCAGCATCTCCATGATGATGTGATAAAAAATGAGACACTTGGCCACTGATTCATATTTATGATGGTTGCAGTGTCCTGGAATCCTGGGATCCCATTTTGTAATCTTCTGACAAGCCAAGTCAATGAGAAACCCAGATTCACTAAATGACCATGTTAGTATGTAGCGGATTTTCTTAATATAAATTATGATAAAGATTAATGGGTTCACAGAAGCATATATTACTCCCCACAGCAAAGAGAAGGAGAGATGGTCAAAATGGATTCTTTTTATCCAAAGAAGAGAATATATCTAACCTTGTTTCTATTCTGAACTTGCTTCTGGAATTTATGCTTGCAATGAAAAAAAAATTGTGAAACTTTGATTTTTGTTTTTGTTAACTAGATAGACTTATTGTTATAGAAATGGCTTGTACATACTCTTGTGTAAAAGCAAAAAAGTTACAGTTGTAACGTTGTTATCTTCTATTGTGCTAAAGCAGGAGGTCTTCAAACTTGACAACTTTAAGACTTGTGGACTTCAACTCCCAGAATTCCTCCTCCAGTCATGTTAGCTCAGGAATTCTGGGTGATGAAGTCCACAAGTCTTAAACTTGAAACGTGCTAAAGAGAGTTGGAAATTGGTGTCTTTTTCTTTCCTTTTTCCCCTTTACACTGGGGTGTCAAACTCGATTTCATTGAGGGCCACATCAGGATTGTGTTTGACCTCAGGCAGCCAGGTTGGGTGTGGCCAGGATGGGTGTGGCCACCTCGACATCACTCATGTGTGGGGCGCCTGTGGTGGCCTGAAACTCCGTTTCCCTCAGGTGGCTCCTGAGCTCCGTTTTCGGCTGCAACAGCCTTCCACAACTGCCAGCGAAAATAGAGCTCCATTTTGACAGCGGCGGGACCAGCCCGCATTGCCCCTGCCAGTGAAAATGGAGCTCTGTTTTCATTGGCAGAGGCACCATGGGCCTGTCCCTCACTGTTTCTGGATCCATGAGCCAGATCTAAGCACCCCACGGCACGGATCCGGCCCACAGGCCTTGAGTTTGACACCCCTGCTTTACACTATATTTCTTTTCTTTCCTTCCCACTCTTCTTAGTTTTCCACTACTCTTTAAATTTTTCTTAGCATTTTATATTTTGAAAAACTAATTTTAAAAAACCATATATCAACAACTGTATTCGTAACATAATGGCTGCAATGATTCCCTTAACAAATATGGCAACAAAGGGTGAAACTCACTTAGCAACAAAAAATTTGGGCTCAGTTGTGATCATAAGTTGAGGACTACCAGTACAAGAAAGAATCATTCTACCAAAGATGAGGTTTCCCTGACTTTTTCCGGTCATTAACTGAACATCGTGGTCATTTAAGTGAATCAATTTTTCCCCAACGGACAGTACTAGAAGTAAACACTAGAAACTGACCAAAAAAAAAATTGGCCATGTGACTTGAGATGCTGCAAATGGTTGTAAGTACGAATTGGTTACCAAGTAGTATAAGTGTGTTCACATGACCACTGTAGAATGAGGCCATTGTAAATCTTCTAAATCTTCTAAATCAGGTCGCAAGTAGTTCTGGGAAGCCCTGTGGTAACATCTAACAGTCCCTAAGTGACTGGCCATTAAGTGAGGACTCCTTGTACAGAGTAGTCTTCCATCCAGGGAAGTTAAAGTTCAAATAATTAAAGTAACGTGAACATTCTTAATAAATAAGAAATGCATCTTCTCTCAAGATGAAATAGACTATGGGAATGTTATTGTGAGAAAGAGTTTGCTAATGTCTTTCTTGTGCCTGTTTCAGATGGAAGACTTTATCTGAAAACTACTGTTATGTACTGAGTTTGTCCAGTCGGAACAATGTGTGTTACCAGTCCGGAGGACTCTGCAGTAAAACATCCAGTGTTTCAGAAATTCTGCAAAAAAAAAGTGGAAGGTGCTTTGCAGAAAACTTTTATCACTTCACATAGCCATGTGCAGAGATTTTAAGCGTTGGTTGGGAGCATCCTCATTGCATTGTCCAAGCTCCATCCTGTGTTACAGAAGATATTTCTACGAATTTGTGTAGCATTCTAGTAGCTACCAGGAAATCTGTACTGAGACTCCAGAGCAGAACTATATATTCCCATTTCAATGGAATAAGAACTATATTCTCTTCTGAATCTTTTAGGCACATCAAGGAAATCTTCCACTTTTCATCTTAAGCACTCTTATGCCAAACCAGCAAGATGTTAGAGAAGAATGAATATTCCTCAAATGGGCATCAGAATATTCCTAAACAAAACACACACACACAAAAAAAAACTGAGGTTAAGAATACACAAACAACATGTTATATACCATTTTCTTTTTTTCAAATTCTGGGAAATGGATTTTTTTTTTCCACACAGCCTCTTCAAGAGAGCAAGGTGTACCTTATAAAACTTAAACCAGTTTTATCTCAAAAGAAGTACAGAGGTTAAACAACGTCACATGTACGATTTGCATTAATCGCAAGAAGAAGAAGAAGAAGAAGAAGAAGAAGAAGAAGAAGAAGAAGAATGCTTATAATTTCTCATGCTAAACTGTCAGTATAAGAGGGATGACAAGTTGTTCCTCATTTCTGAAACTGTTCAGGTGTACAGTATATAACCACAAAAACCACTCACAGAAAATATTATGTATGCAGTAGTATACTAGATTTTAGGAAAACAACAATTTTAGAGAATATGTTTTGTCACCCTGTTGGTCCAAACACCATCTTTCTAATTTTAAACGCATGCAGGCATGTAAATATTTGTCTTGAAGTCACAGTGTTAATGAAGGGAATCTTAATTGTCTGGGAGGGATGACCACCTTTGTATGTATATGCTGAAAAAGGGGCACTTTTCAGAGTGGATTGTGGCCCCAAATCAAGTCAACTCCCCAGAAATATTTTTCTATATTAATGTCATATTATTTCAACCTTGCCGGGGGAGAAAAAAAATTGTCCCCAAGGTTGTAAAGACATTTGATGTATCAGTCCAATACCACGTAGAGCTAAGTGATGATCTTCAGTCTTTTGTCTTTTCAACCCACCACTGTAGACGGTTCTGTGTTATTTTTATTGTCTTTATAAAAACAGTCTCCTGTTTTTTCACTTTGTGCTCATAACTGGAAGCGAGTTGAAACTGAGTGTTTTGTACATCTTCAATTTTCTTCTTGGGCTCGGCCAACTTCTCCACATTACCCCTTTAAAGACCACTGAGAAGGATGTCCAGGCTTTTCTGGATCTCTTAAGTTTAGAAAACACCTTTTTATGGAATTCATAATTGAGAACGTTAAGCATTGATTCGTTTGGATGACCTTACAGTATGTCAAAATTTAGAATCTGTTGGTAAGGCAAATTTTCAACCTAAATTTTTGTTTGTTTTGGCATGCATCAAGACCACACCTTCATTTTACATCTTAAAAACTATCATTGAAAACACAAAATAAAGCCTTTGTTCTTTTTAAATCGTAACTAGTTAAGAAAATCTGAAATAATATTTTCTTTTGAAAGAAAGTTGTGCAGTCTTTAAAGGGTTAACAATTATCATTTTATGGACTTTTGTGGCAAATGGCTAGTTCTATACCAGAGGATTTTGGTTATTCACTTCACTGACAAAACAGTGGTTCCAAGTATCTCTCACTCCTCTCATCCTGGCAAAAAACAAAAAAACAAAACCCATCCATGAGTCGGTGTGATCATTTTTACAGTGTATTCTTTCAAGATGCCATGGGTATTAATCATTGTTTGCTTTGGTACATAAGTCAATGGAAATGCTAAATGAAGAGAAGACGTATATCTTGTTAAACCACATGTAAATATTACAGTTCATGAAATGCTACCGTAAAAGATGAATTTGGGTTCCTTCTGCCTTTAGTTACCCAAGACTTTTCTTCTTTATTTTTCCTTTTGCCTAGAATATGAAGAAATGTTGTGTTCATGTTATTGTTTAAATGCTTTTTGTATTCTTAAAGATATTAAATGTTCTAGTTGTTCTATATTATAATCACCTTTTCTGCGTTCTATGCAACCCTTTGGAACAGAACATTCTCATCTTCATGTAGGACCTATGAAAATTGTCTATTTTTATCTATATATTTAAAGTTTTCTAAAAATGAGAAAAAAAGTTATTATGAATTTTGTTGTACAAAATCTGTACAAAAAAAAATCTGTTTTTACATCATATTGCAAGAATTGGATAATTTTTCTATCGTAGTCTAGTTAATCTGAGCCTGGTTTCATGGTCAGAACCACGTTTCCTTCTATTGTATTTTCCTCTCTTTTTTTTTTCTCCTCCTCCTTTTCAACAATCTGCTAATAAAACTGTCTGAAATTTGCCTGTGACTTTATTTACAGTTCATATTTATTAAATTTGGTGAGATGTGTACGTTGGAGCGATATTTGCTTTCTAATGGGAGGCATCTTAAAACAACATAAGTCAGCTGTTTGTAATACGAGCAGAACAAAGCTGAAATGATTTCATTTAACATGCAACCGCTTTCTAGCTCTCTAATATGAATTACTGTGGTGAAGAAAGGAAGAAGAAAAAAACATCATAAAAGCACATTCTGTGGTTATTGTTTAACAAGCAGATTTTCTATATTTTGTTTCTTGCCAGCTAAGCAAACTGGCCCATCTGCATGATTTATTTATGTTCATTTCTTGGTTTATGAAGCTGTTATTTGTACCTTTTCCCCCTTTATATTGTGATATTCCCAGGATTCTTATTTTACAAAGCTTTGTGCTGAATAATGTAAAGTGAACACACTGATGGAAGAAAACATGCTATTTCCATAACTACAACAGTTTGGAGACTTCTTGCTGTAAAGTCACTTCCTGCCTTCTCACTTCTAGCAAGATGTTTAGAAATTTTTAACATCTTACTGCATAGCCTCACTGCTCCTGAATTTTAATTTCAGGATCAAAATACAGGCTCGGTAGATGAATCTTGTTTGTTTATATATATATATATGATGATGGCAGATGAGATTCTGCCAAAACGTTGCTACAACTTTAAAAGCACAACTATAATGACGTGGGAAAATAACCGAACAAAGCTGAATATATATATATTGTTTGATTCACTTTCAAAGCATAGGGTTTTTTAAAAAATAAATAAATAAATCAGTAAAACGTGGTTGCACCAATTCTCTGACAAACACATTTATGACAGTGTTCACTTTCGCACCTATAATTGATGGCTTATCGGCTTATAGCATTCATATAAACAAGTAACTAAAATAGTAGACTGGTTTCCTGGTATTCAGGGTTAATTGGTTCCAGGAGGCACCATGAATAATAAAAATGATAAGTACCAAACAAATATTTCCCATAAGGAATAATGTAGTGAGCCATAAGGTAGCCAACACCAACAAGTTCTAGCTTATGCATTGAGTACCAAACAAACTTTGAGTACCGAGACAAATTTTTCACATCAAAATCCATTCAGTACCAAATTCAGTGAGTTCAAAGTTGAATACCAAGGTATCACTGTATAATAATAGCACTTTGACTTATAAACTGCTTCACAGTGCTTTTACACCCCTCTTTAAGAGGTTTACAGAATCAGCATATTATCCTCAACAATCTGAGTCCTCATTTTACTGATCTTGGAAGGATGGAAGGCTGAGTCAAACTTAAGCCTGGTGAGATTCGAACTGCCAAATTGTAGTCAGCCAGCAATCAGCAGAAGTAGCCTGCAGTACTGCATTCTAACCACTGCACCCCCGTAGCTCTTGTGAATATTGGTGAATGTGGATATTCTAGTCCCATAAGAGACAATTGATGACAATAAAGTAATTATATGCTGAGTTGGATATCTTACCCAGTTACCATGTCTATCACAAATATTTTGTGCTTTATTTTTTGAAATGGGAAAAGGTAGTAGAGTATACAATTAACATGCTTGCTCTTTAATCTTTTGTGTAACTACAAACAAGATTAAATGAATTTCTTTCATTAGTCACAGTGCTGCAGTGTTCTGCTAGCAAAATTTACCATAGAGATAAATACAGAAGGCCATGGCACCATGCCATATATTTCCAATTTTCCTTTATTTTCATCGGCAACTCACAGATAACTACAGGTTGTGCATACAAAGACCCAATGTTGCCCTATTTTATTGATTTATTCCCTATTATGCATCATTGAGAAATTGTAACCATTCTTATTTTCATATCAGACTTATTTCTAAGCTAAGAAATCAAATAATTCATTTCCAACCATAATCCTAGCCATATGGTATTATTGTATCTATTTTAGTGATGTTAAAGACTACTGTTGACTCTAGTAACTAAAGCTAAATTACTACGGTATATCTGATGCTACTGAAAAGATAAACTAACACAGCCACACTTAAGTAAAACACAAGCCTATTGCACACAAAAGTTTCTTTGGGCTAATAAGTAAAGACACAGATTTATAAAGAAGTTTGAACTCCTGAAAGCAAATCAAAGGTTACGTTGAGGCTTGACTGAAAGTCAAGAGCTATTTTTCCAATAGCAACTTGAGGTAATAACCTGTTGGAATTGAAAGGATGTGAAATCTGTCCTTATTCTTTTATTTTGGTACATTATTGGTCAGTTGAATGTTTCTGCAAGACACTATGTCACTGGTGGGGAAATGGCCAAATTGTATGATACAGCCAATAAATCACAACAGAATTGGCTCAGTAATACTTGTGTAGAAATAGAATAAAATGAGACTTGTTCTACTGAAAGAGTTTCTGTGATTCCATGTACCACTGATAGATTCATCCTTGTCCAATCCTGCCTCAGATTAAACTACAAGGGGCATCCAATGGGAGTCTTTGCAGTGATATGATCTATACGCAGAGAGAGAGAGGGAGAGAGACAGACAGACAGACAGACAGACAGACAGACAGAGATAATCTTAGCCAAGAAGCTAAGGAGATCTATATAGTGATATAATTATGATTGATTAAGTTTTGATTAAGATATTTGTGGGAGGAGTGTGAACAGTGCCAAGTCAATTCCTGTTCCCAAGCTATCCTTCCTGAATTTTTCTACCACCCTGACTCAGAGTACCAAGTGGTCTCTGGAACATATTCTGTTCTCCAGCCACAAAACAAACCTCTTGCTCCAGTGTGATAGAGATCCCTATTCCATTGTTCTTACAATCTGAAAGATTCAACAGTTTTAGACATGAAATGGCAGCCATTTTGATTTGTTTGGACTGCAACAGAAAGATAGCATGCCAAATCTTGCCACTTTAGAATGAAGTTGGCCAGTCATATCTTCAAGTAAAAATCTGAAAGATAACAACTTACCCAAACTGCAGAGGAGTTTGACCAAGCTGATTTCAGAGCAAAGAGTTTGCATGTAGACTAGTATTAAAATCTATCTGTGTCAATGCTGCTAAACATTCCTGTAGATAAATTTCCAGCTTCTGCTTAATTTATAGAAAATGATTAAGAATCTGAGAGTGGAAAGGAACATTTTCAGAATGTGCAAATACTTCTAATAGGTAGGAAAGTGAAGAAAGGTTAGAATTCACATTTGTGTGATCTGCTCCTGTAAATATATGATACACAAAGAGCTTTCTTCTCTAATCCAAAGCGACAGAACTTCATTTAAACTTTCATTGGAAATTAATTGTGTAAATCAATGGTGAGCTTACTTTATTAGTATCAACAAACATTTGGACCATCCAACCGATTACAGAATTAATCAGATTGTCCTTATCTATTAATTTATGCTGTCAGCTCTGCATTTTAGGCCTGAAGAAAATTCCACATAGAACTACTATCTCTCATTGCATGTAATTTCCCCTCTTTCATTTTTTTCTCAGGCCAGCTTTGAACCAAATACATTTTTTAAAAAAAAAATGCCATCTTCTGTACAGCCCATATTGAACTTAAACAGCTTTAAGTGTTGCTTATCTCTCTTCATAAGTAGAAAACATTTGTTGGAGAATTTGGCT